ATTTTACTTAATAAACAATTCAGGAAGATCCCTTATGGGTAACTTAAAATAAAAAATAGTACTGGCTCAATTCTACAGGGTCTGTGTGTTACAGTATTTGAAATTTTTCTAATTTTGACAAATCTGACAAATTTGAAAGTGTTCAGTATTTAGTTACATTTACATAGGATTTCATTTACCTGGGAAAAGTGGGGGGCAGTGGAGGAGGGGACGTTTTGGATGGTGTCAGACACCAGGCGAGGACAAGCCTGGTCTGGACATTTTGAGTCCTGGTGTGGTGGCAGGGAGGAAGAGGGCCAGAAAAGAAAAATGAGGATGTTGTTGGTTTGCTGGAGCCAGGGTAAGCAACCCGTGCTAACCAGTATGACTGCTAAGTCACCTCCATTGCTTGCATTTCTCCAGTGTGTGTGGGATTAGCCAAATAGAGCAACATGACCCATGAAGGTAGGAGCTGTGTGTAGAAAAAAAAATCTTTATTCGGTTAGTGTGCTCAGAGAACTCAATAAACAAATGAGCAAATAATATCACCATCATTAGGGGTGTTGATAAATTGTTTCACTTTGGAAGTTATCAAGCTACCATTTGGCTGGGTTTCCTCTTTTCTTTGTTAGGAAGAAACAAGCACCTTTGACTTCTGGGATTTTCAGTTTTCTTAATACCAGGATGATGAGATTGTACCATTTGTTTATTTGTGATTCTCCACCTTTGAGGTCCTCTTTTAAATGATTATACACCTTAAGAAGGATGTTTTCTATTATTGTTTAATAATTTTATTCTCTAAGGGGATAGAATATATAGTATAAATTTTTATAGTAGAAATTTTAAAAGTTTTTTAAGAGGCATATTTTTTAAAAAGCACAATAAGGAATAAGAGCCACACATTTCAACCATTTCCATTAAACAAGTTTGTTAGAAGGGAAACTCCAGGGGGAAATATATTTATGGTTGTATATGCCTTTGAACTAATTAATATACAGTATAAGCTTAATCTGGAATATTGTCTTTCAGAATTTAAGGAAGGGAAGAGGAAGGGAACTAACATTTGCTGAAAACCTACCATGTGCCAGGCACTGTGCTAGACACTTTGACATACATTACAGGGTTTATTGTGAGTATTAAATGAGACCATGTATCCCCATTTTACAGATGAGGAAACTGAACTTGCCCCAAGTCACATGGCTGGTAAGTGGCAGAGCTGACTAGAACCCAGACTCCAAGCCCCATGCTTTTTCTGCTGTTCCGTGTTTAAAGCTTTGCGAAGAGAGGTATGAAGTTACTGACCAGAAGTGAGAGTTCTAGGAATTTTCTTTCTCATGAAATATTGATACTAAACCTAAACATTTCTTTTTTTTCATATCAGGAGTTAGATGGTTGGAATGACACTATAAATAGAACTTCTCTCCTTCTAAAATGACATGTTAGATGACTACTATCTAAGGGAAGACTGAAGAAATAATGCCTTTTATCAAGAAGTCTGAAAAAACACATGGCACCTTACCGGGCTTTCCATGGCTTAGTGTTAAAGACTTAGCTATAATAACAATAGCTAATTTTGGTCTTATAATCATAATATTGCTTACTTTAGACATTCTAAATGACAGTGGACTTTTGCAAAACCCCAGGAAGTTCAAATTTTACTCCATGTGGTGCACATGTAAACTCACCAGGCACTCATAATATCAAAGACTGAGCTAGATTCTAGGGGATACCAAGGTAAAAAAGATGTCCCTGACTTGTCTTTAAAGTTTGAAGCCTTAGAATAAAATTAATATATCAATATCTTTTTCTTGTTTTTCTTTGATCATGAGTTTAAAGCCCCCAAAGATGGTCTACTTATTTTCAGAAATAATGTGTACAGTGAAATTCTGGGATAAAAAATAATTTGGGCACTTTTAGTAGTTAGAAGGAACAGGAATTGGCTTTTGTAAGAATCCATGGATCAGAGTGTGACACCGAAGAATGTAATAGGTTTCTTTGAACTGTGATCCTCAGCATCTAACCTGCTTTAAATTACCACTGAATCACTTCATTGAAAACTAAAGCTAAGACAAAAACTTTCTGATAACTTGTTTCAAAAACAAAACTTTTTGACGTTTGGATTTCCTTAAAACAAAAGATTCTCTTTGCCCATATCTTATTAACATGCTTACTAACAAGATCATGTTTCAATATATGGAATTCATCCTTTGATCCTTATTCAGTAACCCTTAGACATTAGAATAGCACCATCACATAGATTATTTGGGATATTATAGGAATTGATGCTAATTCCTACTAATTTACGTTGATTCCTATTTCTGGCTTGAACTAATGCACTTCAGGGTGATTTTTTTTGTTGAAGGAGATAGAATGAATATATTCTAGGTCTGAAAAATTGTAATAAAACCTAGTTTTGTTAGCGAATAATCTAGAAATAATACATCCAAATATAAAATTCCTTTCCAAGATATCATTTTAAAGCTGCATGTATTCCTGAGCTGTTGCTCAAAATGTTTTAAGAATACTTCTTTAAAAAGTGCCACTCTTCTTCATGGTGCCAAGTTTGGCCCTTGGAGGGTAGTTTCAGCTTTTGGAAACAGGCACAAGTTTAGAACCATTTCTGGCTTTAAGACCAGTGAATGAACTTTATTTTTTCACCTGCAAAATATTCCTCCCCCTACCCCTTTTCCTTTTGAAAAAAATGGATACTCTTTAACTTTTGTATATCACATAACCAGTCTGCTCTAACTTACAGTACCAAAAATAGCAGATATACACAAAACCAGAGCAAGCATCCTGAACCCCTCTGTACCTTGCTGTTAATTTTTATTGCACTCTGTGAGCAGTGTTTGGCCAGAACAACCCTAGACCAAGGTCTGCATCCTTGCCGCCTGCAAATGGCAGCACAGCGACGACACATGAACTTCTCATTCGTCACAGGCCATTGTTCCAATTTTAGAAAGCCTCTGTCGCCTCCAGCTGTTGCATTGTTTAACCTTTATTAACCCATAACCACCTTCCCCTGATGTGAGGGCAGAGAAAAGAGACAACTGTGTTCTGTGCACCATTCTAGTTGCCCTGGCAATATGATTTGAAGTTTTTCTAAAAAATCTTTAGGAAGTGAACAGTTTACAACTGATTTTTTAAAATAATCTTCTTAAATAATTTCAAAATATTTCAAAATTTTCTGTGACATATAATAATACATCTGTGTATACAGTGTTTAAAATAGTCACAAAAGTAAATTTAGGATTTTTCCCAAGTTTACTAATATTAAATTTTGCTAGTGTTTGTTATATCTATCGCAGTTACTGTTTATCATGATTATTAAATTATATACAGAAGGGAGAAATTTTTTTTTATATACAGAAGGGAGAAATTTATAAGTGGTGGTTTTATTAATCTTACAAAGACCTTGTTATCTTCGCTTAAAGCCATATTTTTATTCTTTCACCTAATTCTCAAGCCCTAGAGGGAAAAAAATCCTGGTATATATCCAAAAGAAGCACATAGATCATTTTTGATGAACCTTTTAAGCTGGTTGGCTATTTTCAGTGATAATATTCCACTTTAGTGAAAAAGTCTTTGTCTCCCTTTGGGGTAAAATTTTGTTTCTTACTCAATGGGTATAATACATTTCAATGACACATAGTGATGATGCCTTTCATATTTTGATTGGCACTAGGTTCAGACCAATTTTTATAGAACTTGATAACTTTTTAAACCTTTCTTGCATTTAACTTTGAGAGAGCATGCATTTTGCAGTATCTCATCAAAATGTCAAATTAACTATGGACCATTCATTCTCAAAGTTGAAAAGTTGGTGGTAAAAAAATGTTTCATGACTTAAATCCATCTGTCCTTTCTAGGAAGCTGTGTTTATGGCAGTGGATAGACAAATTTTGAAATCAGGATACTTTGAGGACTTTTAGTATTCAGTCTGAATATTAAATATTTAAATTTATCATTTAGCTATGATTAGCCTATAATTAGAAAATGTGTTTTAAAAAATGATTGTTTAGAAATGTGTTATTCTCCCAAGGAACCTAGGAAAGACAAAAGTTGTTATTCCGCAGAGAACCCAGTTTTAAGTAGAGCTTTCCTGTTTCTTATTTTGTTCTTGTTTTTAAGCTGAAAATACAGTAAGCTAGTATTTTCCTTCCAGCCGCCCAGTCAGTCATCATCTGTTAATAACACTTGCACTTAGAGATTTTCAGGAACTGTTTCAGGTATGATGTAGGCTATGGGAAAATCTTTTCACTGGGCTATTCAGAGGATACAGATGTTCTGCTTAAGTAAAATTCTTGCAGTGGTGTGCTAGGGCCAGCTCCCACTGGTTTGCTGGTACCAATGATTACATTTTCAGGATTTTTATGAACTGATTGCAAAAACAGCCATCAGTAAAAATTAGATGTATTAATAATATACATATACTTAACAAATAAATTACATTAAAAAACACTTAAAACTCATCCTTTCTAATGATTATATCCATGATCTTGAGGTTATTTACATCTGTTTTCTCTGTATGGTGTGCCCCTTACTATAGTATATCTTTCCACCTCTACATCTTGTGAAGTCACACTGGTAGCTTGAAACTGGCCATGGTGAGAGTGTTCACATCCTGGGATTCGATAAACACTACAGACCAGGGCTTTTTTTTCCCTCCTGGAGAGCTTGCGATTAAATATGTATCAGCACACCACTGATTTTAGGCTAAATGAACTATTAATTCAAAAGTCTCCCTACTTTAGCCTTTGATTAAAAAAAAAACTTTCTAAAAAGTGTTAGGGCATTTTCCTATTAAATGTATAGACCATCCTGAGTATCATTGTTCCAAATGCTCATGGGATCTTTCATACCTAAGATTTCTATAATGCCCTGAACAGTCATCTTAAACGTTAGCAAGATCACCTCTCACAACATGTAAAAAGAAGGTTGTTATTTCCAGGTCAACTTTACATAAACTATATCAAGTGGGAAATTGTTTATATGACTTGTGCCATTTTGTCTCATTGCAGCTGCCACTGGCGACATGCCGACTTACCAGATCCGAGCTCCGACTACTGCTTTGCCACAGGGAGTGGTGATGGCTGCCTCCCCCGGAAGCCTGCACAGTCCCCAGCAGCTAGCAGAGGAAGCGACACGCAAACGAGAGCTGAGGCTAATGAAAAACAGGTAAGGCGTTTCATTAGAAACTTCGGCCACCTAGGGGACATATCAGTTACTACTTGTCCTCAGCTATTTCTCCCAAGTTACGTGTTCTGTGGCATTTTGTGTAGACTCCTGCTCTGCTTGTGCTCATAGGTAAGTTTTCTAATCAGAGTTCCAGCCATGAAACTTTCATCAGCTGAGGTAAATCCCCCTGTGTTGTAGGGTAATATCTAAATGATACATTAAATTTTTTTAATGATAACAGAAGGACTTTATTACAAATAAAGATTCACTTTATACTTGGTATTTACTTTGTGAAATAGGTGATAAGTAATTTTTAGCCTCTTAGCAACTATACTCAATAAAAATTAATCATTATTTTTTAAAATTATCATTATTTAATTTGTCAGTATGGTCAATATAATTATCATTATTATGAAATAAGACATTCAGATACAATGAAAACCTTAGAAAACGGTTAGATGATGACAATGAAGTACTTCTATACTTTATACAAAAAGACTGAAATAAAATAATTGCCTGACTTGTTTGTTTTTATTTATTTATTTTTAATTGGAGAATAATTGTTTTACAATATTGTGTTGGTTTCTGCCATACATCTGCATGAATCAGCCATACGCATACATATGTCCCCTTCCTCTTGAACCTTCTTCCCACCTCCCACCCCATCCCACCCCATCCCACCCCTCTGACTTGTTAAATAAAGAGCCTGTTAAAAAAAAAAAAGAAACTTCTTTATGAAAAAAATAAATTTGAGTGTGAGTTCTGAATTTTCTAAGTCTTTTACATATAGATTTTTTCTACCAATTTTGTAACTTTGTTTTTTTCTCTATTATACCAAACTACAGTCTATTCTGAAAAATTCTAGCTGAGTGCAGGGACAAAGCAAGAGGAAGAATTAAAATTACCCACAGCCCCACCATGTAGACACCTCCTGTAGTACATATACTTCTAGTTCCCTCTCTTATTTTCTCACATGTTCTGCATATTTCCTAGGCTAGAAATAACTGAGATAGTCCCTAGGTGCGAGGAATTCTGAGAAGGGTCTATTTTAGCTTCCAGATTTCAGTTTCAGAGCAGAACAAGAGAAAAGCAGATGACAAATGGCTGTTCGGTTGCTCAGTGTCTGTTGAGCAATTTTCAATGCTTGTTCCTACCAATTCTTTAACTTGCAGGCACGTAGCTTTCACATGAGAATAGGTCTAGTTATTCTCCTTACTTTCCATGGGCTTCCCTGGTGGCTCAGACCATAAAGAATCTGCCTGAAATGCAGACCTGGGTTCCATCCCTGGGTCAGGAAGATCCTCTGGAGAAGGGAATGGTTACCCACTCCAGTATTCGTGCCTGAGAAATCCCATGGACAGAGGAGCCTTGTGGGCTATAGTCCCATGGGGTTGCAGAGTCAGACATGACTGAGCACACACACACACACACACACACACACACACACACACTTTCTCCTTACTTTACAGATGAGCAGCTGAGGTTCAGAGAGGTCAGGTAACAAGCTGGCTAAGATCACACAGCCCAAACTGCATGGAACCTGGAACTGCACTCAGGTTGTCTTTACCCAGAGCCCACACAGCACTAACAGTGAGGTCACCTGCAAGAGACCTCTGCACATGTAGTTGTGTGACCTTACAGAAAGAATTAAAACTACTCATAGCCCCTCCACGGAGAGACACGTAGGACTGACTTATTCATGTAAAAGACCTATTACACATTCTCTCTTTAAAAAGACTAAATTCTTTGGCTGGCATTCATAATAGATACTTAATTGTATTTCTACCAATCCCACGATGGTTTTTATTTTTTTAACAAGCTTATCAGCTTTTCCTCCTTGCTGTGTATTTCTTCTCCATGCCAAGGATATCTTCAGACAAATGCAAGACCTGAAAGCTGAGCTAACTATTAATAGAAGAAACAGGTGTTTTCCGTAGCTGAGACAACTTAGGAATGTACCACCTACTGGTATGACCATCCGGAGTGTTGTGCCTAGAACATTTTGACTCTGGTAACATGCAGGCAGACACATGAAACACGAAGTATGGATATTTCACTAGAAATAGTTCACCTTGGTAAATAAAACTTGAAAAATTAGACATCCCACAACACTGCTCTTCAATATTTAAAATTTAATTTCATGGTAACTTGTTTTATAAAATGACTATCTTCCTTCCAGATCTAGAATTTCATGATTTAATCATGAAAAGCTTGGTGTTCAGAAATGTATTTTCATTTCTTTGTGAAAGAGTTGAATTATGTTCTCAAACTGCCAGGTGTGATTGGAGTTATTCTTGACTTTGCCATGTGAATCATTTAGATTAACTTAATCTGTGTTTATCAGATTGGGCTCACTTTTACACTGTTAATTTTTCTGTTAACCAGTTGAGAAGTCTGAGAACATCTTAAATTCACAGGGCGATGGCACTGTTCTCAGCTAGGCGGTAAGGCTTGATCTCTTCCTACAGTTCATTGGGATTTCAAGGTCTCTCTTCTGCTGACCCTTACTTCCCACAGAAAAAAACACAGATAACCAGTTGTTAGTGAGCGTCAACTACCCCCAAACATAAAACAGAATCGGCCCAAGTGTGTTGCACATGTCAGTCCTAGTTCAGCATTGTAGCAGAGGTAACTGGCATTACAGTAGCTGGTAATTAGACATTCAAAACAACTTTTGTTTATATATTTGAATTATCTGTTTCAACGTAGGCTCTTTGATACGATGTGTACCCGAAAGGCAGTTCTTCTCAAAGGAATGCTCCAAAATAAAGCTGTGATCAAAGGGTATCTTCTGCAGAGGAGTTAAATGATGTGGTTGCCACCTCCTCCCTCTCTGAAAAAAAAAAAAGGAGAGAAAATGTTGGCTGTGTCCATTGTTTTTTGGTGGGGTTATGCATAAAATGACTAACTCGGCTCATAGGTTCATTTGTGTGTGTTGCTTTGCCTGCTGGTCTGGTCTCCTTTGGGTGTGTCTGCACTGCTTTCTGTCCTGGTTTGCAGATGAATGTCTCATGTCCTTTCCATGATTTCTATCATGGCATTCTCACATTTCCATGTTTAAGTTGTCTGAATTACTGAGGGTTGTATTCTGTACCCTCTCTCCTCTCCCTTAATTTTCAAAAGCCTAGTCCCTTTAATTTTAGTTTATGAAAATGTGCATGACCTGTTATTCTTATCCGTGTTGTTTTTCCAGCCAATAAATTACTGCTTGCCGTCCCAATTGATCTTGTCTTAACTGAGATTTAGTCTTGAAGAATGAAAACCTCCCATACTGAGGTTTAAGGTTGCTGAGGATTAATTTTTCTAATCATTTTTGATCAAAGTTAACTCGTGATGGAACATGTGGCTTTTGGTGGACAAAGATAGTTAAGAGAATTGAACAGATCTATAATTTTTTTTTTTTTTTGGTAGAAAGTCATGTGGAGATGTGTTCCTATCGTTTTGGTTACTGAAAACCTTTCTGGCCCCTGTGACCATGGGCCATGTGCCCTAAGGAAACACCTTGTACCACAGATGCCGGGCCAGTTGTCGCTCTGCCATCGCTCGTGCTGGCTGAGGGTGACCACATGCCCAGGCATGTGCTTGGTCACAGCTGTCGTGTGGTCTGTCCAGACCTGACCGAGGACCACCGGGCGGTTGAGCCTGGGGGGCCGCTCTGGACTGCGCTGAGAGGTTGTTCCCCTTGTCACTTGCCTTGTGTTGGTTCCAGGGAAGCTGCCCGGGAGTGTCGCAGGAAGAAGAAAGAATATGTCAAGTGTCTTGAAAACCGCGTGGCTGTGCTTGAAAACCAAAACAAGACCCTCATTGAGGAACTCAAGGCCCTCAAAGATCTTTATTGCCATAAAGCAGAGTAACTGTCTTTGGCTTGGACCTTGTTTGCTCTGAACTCTAATCAAAGCAGGATGTGCAGCCATGCTACTAATTGCCATGTGGAATGACTTGTGGAAGGGACCCCAGTGACCCTTGAGAACCCAGTTTGGCTTTAGTGTTTGAAATTGAATGAGACCTCTTGTCCCAGGATGGGGAACGCAACCATGATCACACTTCCCAAGCCTCCTTCAGCCTCCTTGTCAGTAGCGTGCATGCGAAAAAATGTTTTGTTTGCCCTTTTGCTTTCTATTTTCTTTCAGGGAAGCTGCTAAAGAATGTCGACGTCGAAAGAAAGAATATGTCAAGTGTCTGGAGAGTCGAGTTGCGGTGCTGGAAGTTCAAAACAAGAAGCTTATAGAGGAACTGGAAACCTTGAAAGACATTTGCTCTCCCAAAACAGATTAGTAGAAATATTTAACTATGAACTGATTACAACCTGTACAGTTGCTTTTGAAGGCAATACAATATATAGCTGGCAAGAATTATGGCTTTTTTTTCTCCTTTGTCAGCGTATTTTCTAATCTCTAACATTCCCAAACTGCTTCACTGTACGTAGTTAACTCTTAGCTATAACTTCAATTTTTTTTTAAAGAGACAAACTGTAAAAAAAAGTCTGTAACAGATTCTTAAAATGCAATATTTGTAAGACTTGTTCCAATGCCACATATTTGCAGTTCCCAATCTCTGTGTCATGAATAGTGTCCTATGCAATAAAAATTTTTTGCAGATCTTTAAAAATCATTTTAGGAAAGGGTCATCAAAGATAAATGCATCCAGCAGTACAATAAAAATAAACCACAAAAAATACCTCAGGAGAGAATGGAAAGAAAGAAGGAATGGAAAGAATCTAGTGACATGCCTATGTGAAAATAATAGCCTATAAATGAATTTATGGCATTTGCAGATTTTTATATTGGTTGCTTTGTAAAGAAAATATTGTATTGCTGTCCTTGAATGCCAGAGTTGACAACAGTTTTTAATAGAACCATGTTGGTTACACTTTGTGGTGTTTGGTGCTGTTTTAACTATCCGAACATTGACTCCAGTTTTTACTCTATGGTGTAATATAAAAGATCTTGCAGAGCTTTTAGTGTCGGTTTGCTCTTAAGGTGATGAAAGGTGACATATATTTTAATACCTGTGCCAAGTTACAAGTTCAAATTGTATTTGCAGACCTGCACGGGCTCCACTGCCGATTTCCACAGTGGGCCGTGTTCTCTGCCACGTGTTCTTTCTGCCGTCGTCTCAGAAACCCAGCCCCAGGGCTTAGCTGTATACAACGGAGTAGCTCTGAGAGATTCAGCTGGTGTGATGGACTAGGCCTCTCTGCACATGGCCTGGAAATCTCCTGCTGGTGACCCTCTATTTTGAGTTTTGGCTAACAACCATGGGAGGGTTTTTTTTTTTTTTTTAATATATGTTTGTTTGGCTGCATCAGGGCTTAGTTGCGACACACGGGATGTTTTGCTGCTGCGAGGACTCTCTAGTTGTAGCACGTGGGCTCAGTTGCCCCACAGACTGTGGGATCTTAGTTCCCCGATCAGGGATCCAATCCAAGCCCCTTGCATTGCAAGGCAGATTCTTAACCACTGGACCACCAGGGAAGTCCCACCGTAGGAATTTTAAAGGAAAATCTAAGACAACGCAAGATTTTATTTTCACTTCGAAACAGCTACTTGTAGATCAAATACTTTTTTGAGTCAGCACTTTCAGATGAAGTTCATTACATCGAGTAGATTATTACTGGTATTCACATCTCATCCTGCTTTTAGAATAAAAAACCTCGAAGACACATGTAAGCCCAAAGCCCTGACCACAAGGTACTCTGTCACCTCACTCACTCGCGGGACATCTGCTGAAGGCCTCCTGTGGGCTGGACTCGCCTTGGTTTCTGCTGTAACTCCCGACCTGTGAAGGCTGCCCCTCCCCCAGTTTCAGCAGCGGAGCTGGTTACTGTGTGGAGGAGGCATGTGGGGTGCAGGCCAGGAGGCCACTGTGTGGCATCTCAGTGCCACCCCCATGGCGTCATCTCTTATCTGTAACTCCCAGGAGGCCAGGTGTACCGTTAGAGGCTTTCTCTAGAAATACTTAATCCACCCCTCAGAGCCTGAGCTCTGAATCTCTTTTATCTCAATGTTTGTCTTTCATTCTACAGAGAAGTAAGATGAGGAAAGAAGATAGGAAAGAAAAGAGGAAAGGAAAGCCCCAGGTTTCAAGTGAAGGAGAAGGGTGCTTGGTACTCACGCAGTCATCATTTACTCCATCACTCAACCTTTCATTCAGTCGCTCAGAGTCTGTGTCAATGAGATGTATGTTCAGAAGTGTGGACACTGAGAGGGTGACCCAGGGGTCAGCAGACGGGACGTAAACAAGTTGATGCAGGAGATGCAGTAGGTCAGAATGGGAGGCAGATGTGGGTGGAGCCAGACTTGGGAGTGACTGGAAATGCAGCGGGTGAGGGTGAGTGTGTCTAGATGGGGTATGGAGCAGACACCCCCTCCTAGGAGAAGGGTCAAGGAGATGGAGGAGGTGAAGTTAGGACTCACGGCGGGGGTGTCCATTTGGTTCGACAGAGACTGAGTATACATGTGTACCCCAACTCTGTCATTTCAGGGGAAGGAGATTGCATCTGACTACTTGGGACCTCCAGATAGCCAATGCCCCCCCCTTTCCCCAGTAGTTTAAACATGAGGAAATATTATCATCTCACAAGACACCAGGCCCAGAGATTCAGTGGGAGATTCAGTGGCTCAACATGGCCTCACGAGCATTGGCTCCGTGTGTAGGCTAGTCTCCCAATCCTGATGTCATTGCCTGGATACAGGCACCAGAGGGCAGCCGGCAGCACCTCTTCTGGTTGTCCTGTCTTCAGAGCAGAAAACCTGCACAGAAGACCTTCTGCAGGTCTCACCAGCTGAGTCTCACCTGCCAGATGCTCATTGTCACCTTCTGTAGCTGCTCACTGGCTGGAGAGTGGAGTTAAAAGCTCTGGATTCCTAGTGAGGAAGCAACCTCTGGGGCTGGAAGGGCGGCCAGCTTCTGTGAAGCATATGGCCAATTGGTGTTGAATAGAACTGGATTCTGGAAGAGCCAGGTGTGGGCAGCTAATGGGGTCTCCCATATTGGGGATGTGCAAGGCTGCAGCTGGCCGGGAGCTGGAGACCTCAGTGGGAGCTGAGGCTGGAGCTGCACACGACTTCCCCGGATTCTGGCTCATCTGATTTGTACCTTGGAACCTCATCTTTTGCTGCTAGATTAGCACAATGTGCTAGCTCTCCACCCATTGTTAGCATATACTGCCTGCAGCCTCCTGGTGGATGGAGCCAGAGGTAAGCTGGAAGCTGTGTGAACATCATTTGTCTCATGCAGCAGTGTTGCATGGAATCCAGAGCTGTCATTCTTTCTGTGACTTTATTCTTTTAATCCTAAGAGTTTCTGCACCTGTACTATTGGAAATAGAAATTACTGACCATAGGTTGGAGGATTACACCACCTTGTCAGATTTAACTAGGTGGCTTGTGAGGTGAAATTGCTCAGAATGGAAGAACAGAGGGAGGACATTGTTGGGTGTGTGGCCAGGAGCTCTGCACTTGCCCGAAGTAGGACCATTTGTATCAGCAGCCTCGCCTCCCTGCTTCCTTCATCACTTCTTATGTCCACTAAGACTGTGCCTTTATGCCTAAAGTACATTTTTAAAATATGAGGGCTCTTGAAACCAACACACTGCTTTTCTAGTTCTCATCCAAAAATAATGGCGTGATTTGGACACATGTGCGGCATAGGCTGCCCCTGAGACTCAGCCAGCCCTGCTGAGTTATCAGCACTTCACAAGCTTCTCGGCAGCTGAGGTGCCGAATCTGAGGTGGTCCTAGACACCCAACCCCATGCCAGCTACTCAGGCATGGCACAGTTTAATCTTTATGCTTTGTGCGTAAGCTTCTCTATAAATCCATTTTCTCCTAATATATTTCATATTCGTACATTTCAGAATTCCAAATGTATTTTTTTTAAACACAAAGCATTGTTAACACAGTGTCCTTTGTACTTCAGAGATTTATTTTGCCACAGGGTACTGTGTGATGACTCATGACGAGATTTAAGGTTAAGTCTCTTCACACATAATTCCATCAAAGATGGAAAATGAATAAAACAAAAGTAACCTTGCACTCTGTTACAGTAGGTTGTATGTGCTTAAATAAAATGCCACCCTTCTTATTTCTAAGCCAGTCTTAGTTTTCAGGAAGATAGAGGTTTTTGTTTTTTCAGATTTCCTTATTTTAAAAAAATGTTTGTTTATGTGTAAATAGTACCAAAGCTCACTGTGTGTTGCACTGTACACACTTCATTACCATCTGTTTTTACTTTATTTTTATTTTTTGGCCGAGGGATCTTAGTTCCCCAACCAGGGATTGAACCAGTGACCCTTGCTTTGTGGAGTCTTAACCACTGAACCACCAGGGAGTCCCTGTTCTTGCTTTTAATCCAGACCTTTACGTTTCCTGGGCCATTGATCAGATATGGAGATGAAGCCCTGCTCCAAATCTACGAATTCCTGGGATCTTTGTGCAGAAAGAATCAGAGCCTGAACTTAAAACCCTTCCTCCTCCCCTCTGTGCCCCTGTGGCTTCTGCCCAAAGCCCTGAGGTGGGGGGCAGGGGATGAGGAGGCCTGTGAGGCTCAACTTTCAGCTCCCTAACTGTCCGGAGGGAAGGTGTCACCCTTAAAAAATAAATTGTATCCTTTTACTTTTCAGAAATCAACTTTATTTTTTAATATAGGTAAGACATATTTGAGATTCAAAATTCAAGGGATACAAAGGTATAGAGTGCAAAGTCTTGCTTCCCATCCTCGGCTCCAGTCACCCGGGAGGCAGCTGCGGTCATCCGTTTCTTTTTTGGGAAAGAGACTCATGGATGATGCCTCCTGTTTCCGTAGATTGCTGCACCGTATTCAGCACTGTGATGAGAGGTTTCTGGAAAGAGACCTGCGGAGTCAGGCAGCATGTTCATTGCTACAAGTGGGCTGGAAGGAGAGAGGGCCCAGGCCCGTGGCGACACTGCACTTCTGGAGTCTTCTGTTACATCCTGAGTCCGGTGGAGGCTCCAGCCGCGCAGCTGCTATCCAGAGTAATGGCTGCCACTTACTGAGTGCCGTCCCCGTGCCTGGCGCCAAACTGCGTGCCACACGGGGCTTATCGCACCTAATTCTCATCAGTACCGGTGCTTTCACCAGCACCCCCATCTTGCAGATGAGGAAGTAGACTTTGAGAGGGTAAGTGACTTGCCCAAGGTCACACAACTGTTAGGGCTCAGGGCCGAGAACAAACCTGGTAGGGAGCAAGGGAACCCGGACCCAAAGCACGAAGGTGGCCGGAGGGCATGTGTACTGGCCAGGTGGGTGTCGGC